CGTCATCGATGCGGGGTGAAGGATAAACGTCCTTTTTCGTGATTCTATTCAGATGACGGTAATCCACGCAGAAGCGCCACGTGCCATCTTTCTTTTTAACGAGCACAACGGGGGACGCCCAAGGGCTCGAAGAGGGTTCAATAATTCCTTTGGCTAACATCTTGGTGACTTCTTGTTGAATTATTTTACGCTCGGTGGCAGACACCCGTTATGGTCGCCGATGAATGGGATGAGAATCGCCTGTGTTAATGCGGTGCTTGACGAGTGAAGTCTGGCCGAGTGGACGGTGGTCGATGTCGAATATGTCGCGGTATGAAGCCAGAAGGCGGCATAGCGCGGTTGACTTCTCAGGTTTGAGGTCCGGGGCGATCATGGAGCGTAAGGTCGCATCGAGGCACGTGGCATCCTGCCAGTGATGTGGGTGCTCGGGACATACGTCTGCCGTAAAACAGGTGACGTGGTCGTCAATTAAGGGCCTTAGTGTGGCGACAGAAATTCCTTGGGGTAGCACTTGTTTTATGAAACCGAAATTGATAACAGGTAAATATGTTCGGTTAGAGGCCGTGCTTACGACAGAGTGTGGGACAGTAATGTCACGCGCCAGGAGAACATCAGTAATCGGCGTCACGATATAATCACCGTCGAGCACGGGAGAAAGTGTTGCCAATTCGATGAATGTGAGAGCTTTAGGTGGTATCCGGAAGAAGTCAGTGGTGCACAAGCTGTTCGGGAGTTCAGGGTGAGAATCCGGGAGAAGAGGAAGAGGAAGCAGAGAGTACCGGCGGCACAATCGATGAGGGCAGAATGCGTCGATAGGAAGTCCATGCCGAAGATTAGGTCGTGGGGGCAATTTTCAAGCACCGTAAATAAAATGGGAACATGGCGGCCGGCAATACTAACACGAGCGGTACACATTCCAGTGATGGCCACAGTTCCACCATCAGCGACACGGAGGGCTTTAGTTGCTGCAGGCGTGAGAACTTTTTTGAGCAGGCGACACAGATGAGCACTCATTATGGACACTTGAGCTCCGGTATCGACTAACGCCGTCAAAGAAATACCGTCCACATACACCTTAATCAAGTTCGTATCAGTGGGGAGCGTCAATGGAGAATTTGGATCATTCGCAAGCGATGCATCACTACCTCCCGGAGCTGCATGATCTAGTTTTCCGTCCGAGAGGATCCACAGTTGACCGGCGACGGATAGCGGCGTGGTTGGGGCGATGGGGAACGGCGGCGTTGAGGTAGCGGCGAACGAGCAGTGGAGCGGCTGTTGGGGATGTCGGAAGAAGGGTACACACGACTGGGCGAATACCGACTGGGAGTCCTCGAATGGTCGATTAGAGGAAAATTGGCTCCAGTTTGAGGGCGTCCAAGTGCTGCGGCAGTAGCGGGAGATGTGGCCAACTCGGTGGCAGCAGAAGCAGATCGGCTTGTCGTCTGCAGTTCTCCATTCCGCTGGATTGCGGGATCGCAGAATAAAGTGTAAGTCATGGCGTGGTGCATTTGTTGTCATTGGTCTGGAGACGGGTCGGGAGATAGATCAGGCCACAGGAAAACCAAGCTTTGCAATTTCCTGCCTCACGACGGCTTGAATAACGGAGACCGGCAGAGGCATTTGTGCGGCGCCATGGTCGAGCGGATGTGGAGGAAATGGTGCCGTACTTGACGCCTCAAGCTCCCGTTGAACTATTCGTGTCACGCTGTCCTGCATGGGTGGTGCGGCACCGAGATCGTTGCAAGTGGATGTAACAGCCGTGTTTGGTAGCCGCGTAAATTGAGGCAGAACACAGCGCCTTTGGCCATTTCGAAGCGACGGCATTCCTTGATAGTCATATCTACGGTCGTGACGTTATTGTAGACGAGCAAATTGAAGGCGTCGTCCCCGATGCCCTTAAGTATGTTATGTGGGCCACTTTGTCACTCTCTGTCATTTGCTCGTCGACTTTTCGGCACAACGCGAGCACATCCTGTATGTACGAGACATACGACTCTGTTGACGACTGCACACGAGTGGCGAGTTCTTTTTGCGCTTCCATTTGGCAACCGGACGGGTCTCCAAAGATGTCGCCTAGTCGCTCCTTGAAGGTATCCCAGCTGGTGAGCTCGGTCTCATGGGCGTCGAACCAGACCCGTGGGGTGCCGTCCAAGTAAAATATTACGTTGGCGAGCATCATGATAGGATCCCATCGGTGTGTGTGGCTAACACGCTCGTACATACGGAGCCAGTAGTTGACGTCGAGCCCAGGTTGTGCGGAGAATGTACCGGGATCACGGGGGGTGAGGCATCGTCAGGTATGTGGTGGCTGGAGCTACAGATGGAGACGCTGACAGGCTGTTGTCATTGGTAGCCATGGCCGGAGACTGAATGGTGCGGCCACTGTGAAGCTTCGTGGTGAAGACGGGGAACGTTCCACCTACACCAAATATGTTACGGAAAAGAAGAGACGCCGTAACGACGAGGCTGGGGATTAGATATATTCAAAACCAGCGGTAATGACGTGCCCGGTTCACCAGCGATCGAGCGGAGACAACTCTTCGTCTTCCTCGTCAGGCACCCACGCGCGTCGCCCCCTAGAATGTCAATATACATGCATGTAGAAATACGTACCGTGTATACCTTTCTCTTTATCTCAAAGTAATTTTATGTCAGGTTGCGGATAACTCGAAATCTTGACTGGGAGTGGAACGAAAATTCCGCCGCCTGACCATTTCACAAGATTCGCGCGATGCTGCCACACCTGAAGTCCGTGGATTGTTTTTTTTCTTGTTCAGCCGTGCCTGCCACTACATCGATGCTTTTCGTGAACGCGAAGTGTGCAAAGTCTCAGCCCAGCAACATATCAACTTTGTCAAGCAACCCTGTGTGACACAAGCACTGAGCAGGGAGTCCCTCTGCCCATGCTTGGCATAGTTCATCTTCTTCGCTTTGTGCAGTGCACATGATTTCCCCTGAGGAATGATTTCCATTCATCTGTGCAAACTGAACGGTACGGATTTTTCGCTGACTGTGAGCAGCGGCAACTTAGCGTGAGTGCGGCAATGGCATCAAAACTATGCAAGTCATTAAAGCTAGAATAAAAAAGGTTGCCCTAATTAAGGAAGTGGAGAAAGTAGGCCGAACAAGATCGAACATCACGCAAGAATTCGACATTCCCTTGTCTACTTTTTACGGTGCTGAAAAACAAGCAGAAGGTGCTGGATTGATATCAGCAGAGCTTCTCCAGCCAGCAGAAGTGGGTTCAAGGGTCAAAGTTCCGAGACGGTGAAGGGGCGTTGATGGTGTGGCTGCAAAATGCCAGAGCGGCTAACCTTCCCACCAGTTTGCCAGAAGCAGAGACAGCAGAGATGGCAGACACAGATTCAGACTGAGGAACTTCGTCAGGAGGTCATCAAGCTTACAGGTAATGGTGCCGCCGAAAATGACACGACTTTTTTGGAGTACGCGCTGTGTGAGCAGGATATGGCAGTGACTGGAGAAATGATGGACGCCGAAATCGTTCAAACAACCACTAATATAGGAGACGGCGAAAACGACGGCGATGATGAACCGCCTCGAGAGGTGCCAACATCTTGTGAGACAAGAAATTTGCTGCACATGCTTCGAAATGAGGTCGAGTGCAGCGCCAGGAAAAGGCAACTGATGCGATGCGTCAAGCAGCTGTAGCATGCCTTCCTAGGCCAGTGATGTTCCTTGCAGGAAATTTTTCCCTTTTCATGAAATTTTCGCCTCTCCTTTTTGAGCCAAAGGGAAGAAGGGAATCTTCGTGATATTGCAGGGAATTTCAGGAATGGTTAAATTCTACTATGACGACCTATAATTAGCAGTCACGGTGCTCCTTCATCAGCTGTAATCGGTTCTTGCACATGCACCACGCAAGCATAGCCCTTGAAATTTGTTTCTGATACTTACGTGCAGCGATTTCTAGTTTACTATTGGTGTTAGACTTGAAGCCCACATTATGCAGTGTACTAAAAGTATATGAATTAATAAAGCCATGCTTTTGTTGTGCGGCAGTGAGGGGCAAGTCGCGATTTCAAAAGTCACCAGTACGTCAGACACGTGTAATTATAATATGTGCGTGCATGTATGGGGGTGGAAATTAGTACTGTTGCGCAGGTAAATAAATATGCTGGAAATTTCGTGAACAACTGCAGGGAAACACGCCCAAAATAGGGAATTTCCAAGTCTCTGAATGGGAATTTTTCAGTGTAGTACTAAGCATCACTGTCCTAGGCCCGAACACGACCACACAACAGACGAGCATTAGACAGTTTTTCTCAGCTAAAGAGAATGGCAGTGCAGCAAAACCCAGCCGGTTAAAGACTCTTGTACTATGTTATTTTTTATCTTTTCAACCTTCACAAAAAGGATTAGAAACTGCTGCTGAAGAGCCGGTAAGTAGTAGTGAACTTTCTAAAAAACACTAATTTTTCCCGGTGATTAATTAGCGCAACTTTGCTTGTCTCGAAAAGCCGTTTATCCAGAAATTTTCCCTGCTTTTTAAGACTTTGAGTCAACGAGGTATTACTGTATGTGAATACACAGAAAACAAATGCAGCGATTGTGCGAGCAGGCTGAGGGAGACAGTTTCAAGGAGATGAACAACGCTATCTGCCGCACAAACCATAACAATGAAAGTGGCCATCACTGCTTTAGCACCATACAGTACATAAGAGCACCAACGACTGCTGAGTCTATTGTTCTATGCATGGGAATGCTCTGCAGCCTCGTCAAAATAAAGCTAGGCGAATATTCAAACTTTCAGATAGTTTTCTAATAGAGTTTGCTGTTAGATCGGATTTGCACCAGAATTCTACTATTCGAAGTACTTGAACCTCTGGGAAATAAATATAACCTCCTCTGATTCTTTGAATGTGCTGAGACTCTACTGGCCCAACACACATGCACGAAGAGTTTACACAACACAGATACACGACACACATGCACACACACACACGAAGAGTTTATCACTGTTATTAGCTAGCTCATTTTACCTCCGTCCTTGTTCTTGAGAAGCACCATGACGTTCATGGCACCCACTTCGGTGACTTGTTCATCCTCTCCGAATAGCCAGAGCACCTGCTGGAGACCCAGTTTCTCGGCTTCGTTCTGCACCATGAGTGTTGGGGCATAATTGCTGCAAATAACCAAAGAGTTAGTACCACAACACACTTTTGTCCCTTCATGCTTTCATGCCCACTCATGCTTGTGGATTACAGAACAACTGGTTTGCTTATCTTAGAAGGGTCATGAACCCCCCTCAGGCTCGGTCAAATAACACATCCTTTGGAAATCGGACGCTGTTATAATAAGTTCAACCACACCTTGCAGTTGTGTGTGGCAAGGAGAGTTTACATGCAGAGTGTGAGGTTCGCGTTTACTCAGGAGCTTTTTTTTTTTTCATACAGAGGCCTGTGTTCCCTCTCTTGGGGAGCAGCCGATGTCTGCTGCTTGATGTCACACAGCAGGTGGCGTGCTCTTGGCCAATGGCCAACATAAATTGAGAGTGCCATTTCGATTAGATGCCCTTTTTGCACACAGGTGTTGCTACGTGCTGCCACTGCACTCCATAGTCTGCCCACATTACACAGTAGCCACACTGATGCACACTGGAATCACAATGGGACAGAGCGATTGCGTTTAATCATGTGCGCTCAAAGTCATGATGCGAGCTGACAGAACTTCTTTCCTCTGCACTACCCCTTCCTGTGAAGTTTCCAGCACACTCGTCAGGACAAGAGGAGAGACAAGGAACTTAAAGGTGTACCGACAAAAATTTAAAACTTTTTGGGATTGTTGCTCTAAATAAAAACATCTGTTTACAGGACCCTAAAAGAAGTACCGTAGGACCTTGGAGTGCAGCGCATTTATATATATTCAATATGTACTGCTACTTTAAAAAGTCACTTTCGGTTACGATATCGAAAGGGCCGCTTTTCCCTGACGTGCCAGGAAGACGATATGACATGGCAGCGTGACGTCACAGGAAGACAGCAATTCGCAACGTATTAGTAGCAGATGTGCGCTCTGCATGCAGTACACGTAAACAACGATGAGTGTATTATCCCTGGCAACCACAACAGTGATTACTGTGATTCAGGCTGCATGGAGGATGCAGAGTTTGCGAACAGTGTAACTGACTTGACTCATTAGGATAATGTCAATTGCGGTGGAGCTTAGCTGGCTCACGCTTAGTGAAGGAAACTTTAAAATCAAACACAATATTTTATTCCTGCTGGCAGACTCTGGTGTGTAGAGAGTGTTAGTACTGCATACCAAGGAAACAAGAAATGCCCCTTTTGCGATGTCCCAAATCGTGTCAGTACTCCTTTAAAACGAGCAAGACATCCCTGTAACTTGACAGATTTGAACATCGTGGCAACCGATTCATTGGGCAATAAACTATGATACGTAGGTCGTTCAATGAATACTCTAAAGAGGTTAAGGTGCTCCTTTAGAGTGACAGCTGGTCTATCATGAGAGACACCGTGATTTAGGCGCTCTGGATACATTTCAGTCACACTGAAGCACATTGCAGAAGACTCACCAGCCAAGCTTCTTGTCCCCAGTGCCTCCGGGCCAAGCTCGGACATGCTTGGGGTCGGCGAGCAGGGAGACTGGCTTGATGCCCGTACGGAAGTAGGGACCGACGGGGCTCAGAATGACGAATAAAAGAGCTTCGTTTGACCGTGCCACTCCTAGTGTGGGCTAGAGACCAATGGTGGCAAGAAATAAAATAGAAAATGAAAAATTTTTCAGCTTCTTGGGAAGGAGCAATGTGGCCGAAGTGGTGGATGAAAGAGCACCCTTGAAACATGAGGCATTCAAGATGCATCCATATATGTTATACGAGCCGCTGAATGTGTTAACTGCCATAGCAGAATTGCAGTAACTGACCCGGCCATGCATTTGTGGCAGTAATATTTTTAGATTTACATTTCACATGGGCTAGTACGGGTCACAAAACGCAGTGATAGACAATTCTTCGTTTTTGTGCTTTGTACAAGATTGTTTTGCAAGAAGATTTACCGGTCGAAACCATAAGTCTGCATTGTGCTGCAATGACATCACGTTGAGTAAAGCATACGAGGTAAATGAAATGTACTTTTTATTTAATATTTAGAAAAAACAAGCAAAATGGAAACAAAAACACTACCATAATTGACAAACATTGCACATACAATGCTCTATCACTCAGCTATGAACACCACAGGTACTACAATTCATTTTTTGGGGTGCTATTTGCACATGTGTGGTAGATGTAGCCCTAGGAGTGTTGGACAAGGCTAACTGTGGCCATAGCTCCATATGTGGTGCATCCTTTCAACGGCAGGTGTCATGTAGTATGAGAGCCAGTGAGCCAGAAACAGGCGAATATTCACTAGCACGCCACCTTATGGTATCAAGGCCATGAATGCAGTGAGTGAGAGAAATAAAATCTAAAGGGCAGATTTTTTTTTTTGTTACAACTTACAACTACATAATGGCATAGGAAGCATCGGAAAAAAAGAAATTAGTACTATCTTTAACTGCGTAGTAGAAAAAAGATCAAGAGAAACCAAAAAAACCCATCAGGACAACTTTCCACAGCTGCTGAGTTATTTACAGCAATTTGCATCGAACAGCTACAATAACTTACTGGCACAGCACCATGCACAGAATATGCAAAATGTGTGTTGAGAGCAATATACCAGTTGCAAAACAATCAGACAGGGCTAAAGAACTAATGGGTTTATGTAGAGATGCCATGGACTTCCAAATGAAACTTTCTATGTTACAGGATGAACAAGCCAGCCAAACAGGTGCCGAGCACTATCGTAAGTTTGTTACCTTAAAAGGGACACAGGTGAAGCAATGCATTGGTTTAAATTGATAAATTGTACTCAAAAGAACTCAAATGTATTTAAATGCACCATCATAGGTTTATTGAGAGAGCAGAAAATCAAGGTCAAGGTTTTAGAATTCCGCACCTGAATCTCCGTGCGTGACATCACAGATTTTAAAGTGTATACAGTCGATCCCGGGTATGGTGAACTCGGACATATCGAATTATTCGCTATATCGAACAGTTGATAAATCCATTTGAATTTTCCATGCAAAAGTATCAGACTGTTGCCCGTGCATATCGAACTCCCACGGAGTGTAACATCAGATATACCGAAGCCTGTGCCAGGCCGAAGCCCAGATAGCGTATTCTGACAAAGATAGATAATTTTTCGGCCGTGTTCTAGCATGTTCCAAACACTCCTTGCACTGCAGGTGACATAAAGGTGGTGCAATTCGTTAATTGCGCAGCGCTTCTTGCGAGTGCCCCGGCACGTGATGCACAATCGGTTGTAGGTTGTAACATGTGGACATAGTGACTTCAAAAGGCCCAATTGCCGAGGACACTGAAATGAAATGAATGCGAAGTGACTCTGCAGCCTCATTGCAACGTTCGCATTCCCTTCCTTGCTCGTTCGCGCATAATGACATGCGAATTTGAAATACATGGCCTTCAAGATCCGCAACCTCACGACATATTTTGGGGCTTTTCGGTTATAAAATACGTCTCAGTGGCTGCGCTTTTTCTTGCTTTCCACTTGCCGCTACCTACAAAGCGCCTAATGCTATCGACATCTGTTTGTAGGAGAGCATTATTACACTGTAGCGTTGTCGCAGCTTGTAGACTTCAGTAGTTTTCGCTTCAATTCTTGCTGAATATTATTTCGGGGATCGAACCAAGCATCGCATCATTCATAGCGATAAAACTGATGACTGGTGCTTGGAATGACGTCAAGCAAAGCACCGTCTTGCACAGTTTCCTCGTGGGCTTCGGTGGCAGATGACTACTCTGGGTGGACCATCACTACTGACAACTGCGTACAATGCCTCAGTGAATTTTGCGACTTGGCATTTTTGATAGATTGATATATCAGTGGGGTTTAAAATCCCAAAACCACCATATGACTATGAGACACGCCGTACTGAAGGGCTCCGATTTCGATCACTCAAGTTCTTTAACGTGCACCCAATCTGAGCACACCGGCATACAGCATTTTCACCTCCACTGAGAATGCAGTCGCCGCAGCCGGGATTCGATCCCCTGACCTACAAGTCAGCAGCCGTGTACCTTAGCCACTAGACCACTATGGCTGGGTGACTTAGCATTTTCAGGCACCACATCGGATGGGAGTACAGATCATCGGGGCTGATGACAATGTCACTGTTTCTGACTGCATCAATGCCGATATCATGGCTGACGCTGCCAGTGGCCATGGAAGTGATCTTGTGCGGTTATGAACATTCTAACGCCGCCGCTAAACAATATTTTACTAGCTACAGAGTTTGCGCTGACGTTCACCGTTAATCACCACTGTTGTAGCCAAAAGTCCTAAATTCACTCAGTTTTGAAGCTTCAATGCTCGATTAATCAGATGACTTCATGAACTTGGTGGCGCACATAAAACAAGACAAGTCTGCGGACCTTTTTCACGCGAAATGAAGTGCGATAACTTGCTTCTAAAGCATACCGTGAGCGAATATGGTAATGTTTACTGCAATTTCTGAAAGCCATTTCAAGAGTTGCAATGCATTAATATAAGCTTTAAAAACGGATTTCTTATTTCAAATCATCAGTATATCAAACTATTTCGCGATCCCCTTTGAGTTCAATATATCTGGGATCGACTGTATTTCATGCTTTGGCAACACTGGCTCAACAAAATTTCCTGAAACTTTGTGTGTGCTGTCTATTGCCCCATCTGATAACAATTTATTTCATTTTTACTGATTATGAACTACATAGGAGCTAGTAGATGCCATTAAAAGTTTACGACGTCACGTTTGGTGCAAGAATTTCAAGGTGGTGTCGTCAACCGCATTTTCCTTTCGCCCTTTTTCTTGCTTACCAAGCGTCTTCACGAGTCAAGCGTGGCAATTTTAAAATTGTGAAGGAGTCATTTATTAATAAAAGAGAAATTATTTTTCTCTCCTAATGTCTCTTTCAGTGTCTACAGTCAGCACAACCCATTTAGATATGATCACAAACATCATAAAAATTGTTTCACAAACTTCATACCTCAATGCCTATGACTGTAGGTCGAATGTAGAGTGAACTCATGGGGTACTTGGGGACCCAGTCTTTCTCGACGGACACAAGCTTCGTGAGACATTTCAAGAACTCGTCCCCGTCGAATTTCTGGAATGTAACAGAGAAGAAGTTACTGTGACATTGAGATCTTTTGAATTCATCAATGTCTGAATTCATCACTAAACTGATAAAGCCCCATATAGTGAATATAATGCCCACCAGAATTCATATGATGCAAATTGAAAATTAGGACAGTCATGTCATGACTGAAATTACATGACATTCAACTGTCAACAAACTAAGCTGTTATATTTCTTTCTGCTTCATGCCATCTCAAACACCTCATCTGAAGTTTTTCATTATACTCATCCCGTCACTCTCTCAACGGCATGCGCAAATGACGTTGAGACGAACAGTGGTACTACAGTGAGTTAGACAAGTATTATTTTTCTACAATGTCCAGCCGAACTTCTTGGCTGAGTAAGCTACGCTGTAGCATCCCTCAGACCCAACGAAATCCTTAAAACAATACATTCTTGAAATTTGTTCCTGCTGTCTCAGACAGTTCCCGCTATTCTTAAAGAAAATACTTGCTATGTAAGACTGCACGAGCATATCATGTCAGCATCGTGATATACATGAATATAAACTCGATTTCTCCAGTTCACATAGGCAAAACTGCATTAAAGAGGCCCTGCACCACTTGAACATGGAAAAAAACATGCTTTGAGGCCTGAGTGAACATGTCAGCCAAGTACTATAGCACAGCACATGGCACAGATTTTGCAATTAAGTTGCAAAGTCAGCTAACCATTGCTTGCTATTCCATAGACAAATTATACGATAAGTGCTATTAGCATTATGACATCAATTTGGCTTACGGCCATTAGCCGATTTGAGCATCATGCATTGCACACTCCCGCTGCCGCGAGGTCTTGCGACTTGCTCACGCTGTGCTCTGTAGAGCTCAAATAACACATATTATATAGAATAACAATGCACTCATGACCACAATGATTGTAAGCTGCGGATTCAAAGAAAAAGAAAGTAAAGGGCATTGAGTGATGGCGCGCAATGCAGTACAGACACAGCATCTTGCCTCATCGTCCCACCTGCTGCATAGCCTTTAGCGCACTTGCTGAAACGAAAGGAGACAGAAAGCAGACCTGTCACACACTTATAGTGTGTGACAAATGCTTGAAACACCGCTCGTACTAGATGGCATTTAAGAGAGGTTGCAGCTGTTGATTCGTGAGGAAATAAACTCTGACAGGCAGATCATTCTTTGACTACTTGGACCCCTTAAATTGCCCTACACACACATACAGGTTTCACGCTAAAACTGCAGCTGCTGGCATTTGAATTTTAATCCCACCTCCTCTAGAGAAATTTTTAGGAGCCCCTCATTGATATTTTGCTTGCATTAGCTCATCTTATACATGGCTTAACTCTGAGAATGAAGGAAGTTGTTGTTTACGAAAGTGGATGCAGAGTATGAAGACAACAGAAATGAGATAAGCTCAGTGGGGCCCTATACAGAGAAAGAGTGAAGATACCGAGGCACAGACATTAAAAACATCACTACCTAATGTATGCTCACGGTACACTTTTCCAAAGGCATTTCAGAGATAGTAACCTCAAAAACAGCTGCTACCTAAGAGACAATTCATGAATGAAATTCCTGAAAACATTTACGATTGCTAATACTTACAGACAGTGTTGGGTCTCGTTACAATAAACTATGATAACCTGACAAAAAGGTCTACTGTCTTTCTTCAAAGCTTACAATACATGAAATTTCAGTTGCTTTGAGGCAAGAGAAAAAAGGCACATTTTCAAGTCATCAAGCACAAGTTCTGTATATAAAGCCAAGGGTCACCATTGAAATGCCCGAAGATTGTCTTAATGATGCTGCTAGTTTCAACTATACCACCAGAATACCAACGAATGGCGGCCAGGAAAATGAAAAACTAGATGTATACCGCCTCTCATACTTGTGCGGACACAAGTTCATAGATTTCAGCATAGCTTGCACAAGTTGCAATCGTCTGCTAGTTAGCACAAGAAGCGACCCGACACCTCGCTTGCTTTCCAGATGCAGACAGCATTCTCACTGATGCCGATGCATTCACCGCAGGCTTGCGTGAACGTCGTGCCACGGCTCGCCCTGTGATGGTCCAGCCATCCACCGACCAAAGCGGCACTGCTGTCTCCGCAGACCCCCGCTAGCCGTTTGGCTCACTTACCCTAAATTCTTGATTGAGTTTCGATTCTTTTAGAGCGCACAAGATCCCCACTATCGACTGTAACATAATGCAGCACCATTTTTTGAAAAGATCACGAAGTGCAGCCAAGCTTCTTGCTTTAAAAAGCCTCATGCTTACAAAACTGAAATAGTGACAGCTTAGCTAAGACGTGTTGGTAGGCTATTTATTAGATATTTATTAGCACCACTGCTATGTGCAAAGCTAACATTATGTCCCGAAGATGGGCTAGTGCCCAGCTTCGGGACATAATGTTAGCTTTGCACATAGCAGTGGTCGCAAACAGCCTTACCACATTGGTGACCGTTCAGAAGCAGCGCAGTCACGTTTAGCGATACCAATGACCATGCTTGGAAACGTAAAGGGTAGTATTTAGCTGCCCCCCACCCCCCTTGTAATAATCTATAAAATATTCGGGTTGCAAATGACAGCTACATAATTTGTGTAGTTTGAAGATGTGTTGAAAGACCAATTATTACCCCCGCTTACTGCAATCTCCCTCCTCCGAACACTAGCAGCAGCTGCAACTTCACTGATCGTCGACAGCTGTAGTGTAGTATTTAGGCAAAAGCCTCATCAAAAGCGAGAAATGATCGCCTGCGTCGTACCACGTTGGCTGCGTCAGTACAAATGATGGAAGCAATCATCGTTACATGAAAATTTCATCATATAATATCGTGTTTTGGAAGGTAATATTACAGCTTCGCATGGTTAAAATGGGCCGATCACAGAGGCGATGCATAACCAGCTGAGGGGCAGAAAGCTAGCGTTGTCTGCAATCCTTGAGGGAGTAAGAAAACAACATTAGGCACAGAATTGTCTCAGAGAGAAGCAAGAAACATTTCAAGACATTGAATGGGACGAAAAAGACGATGGTTTTCACCTTGCAGTTGTCTCAGGTAAATACATGAGAGAACCTGGGGGTTATATTTTTTTTATTTATCACTATGACAAATATAAAAAAAAAAACAATCCGATTTCTTTCCGTTTGATAAGCAGAGTTATAGACAACACTATGACATGTTGAGGCATGCAAATGATGAGCTTGCAATGGTCTCAAACAGAAAAATAAAACTCGAATACTGTCAAACACGATTGGAAGTGTCGAACCGGTCGCACCAACTGACAGAGAGAGAGAGAGAGATGGTATGAAGAAAGGCAGAGAGGTTAACCAGAAAGCAAGTGTCTGGTTCGCTACCCTGCACTGGGGAAGGGGAAATGGGAGACAAAAAAGTAAGGAAAAGGGAGTGAGAGAAAGGGAGCGGATCGCAAGCGAAAGCTCACAAACACACTAAAACGTCACAAATATTCAACGAGGCGGGTCGATCGCAGAAACTTCAGGAAGGCCTTCGTCGCTTTTCGGCATGAAGCTCGATCTTTCCGGTATTCCAACATTAATTTTTCGGAATGCAGTTGGTCAAGGCATGCGAACACTGCTGACAGGGACTGTCTCTGACAGTTTTACTGAGGGCACTGACACTAAATATGTTCGATGGTTTCCTCAGCGCCGCAATGACCACACGCGGCACTGTCTGCCCATCCGATGCGGCAAGCAAAGGCTGACGTAAAAGACACCCCAAGCCACATGCGACAGAGAAGAGTTATCTCAGATCTGGATAACCCCATAAATGGAAAGTCGTAGGTATGGGTCCAGGCGGTGAAGACGAGTGTGTAGAAATACGGGCGTGTTACACAGAGAACTGGTGACATAGTGTGCGAGCGTATAATCCTTGCTGCTGCGTCGCTTCTTGACAGTGTAATGGGATCCATCATGCCATTTTCGTGAGCATTTTTTGCTGCAGCGTCGGCATGCTCGTTATGGATGATTCCGCAGTGGCCTGGTAACCATTGAAAAGTTACATCGTGTCCTTTCTGTAGTACTTGCTAGTACAATTGTCTTGTTTCCAGCACCAATTGGTCTTGAGGTCCACGAGATAGCGCAGTTCAAATACAATACAGAGCTGGTTTCGAATCGGTGGAAATGCACCATTTTAGAGGTGCTTCTTGATCCGTCCTGCAGAGTGCACAGCAGACTGCTGCAAGCTCTGCGGCTGTCGATGTTGTTTTGTGAGACGTTCGAAATCGGATGGCTTCGGCTTTTGCTGAAAAGATTACAGCTCCTGCAGATCCCCTAACATTTGTCGAACCATCCGTATAAAGTTTAACGTGGTGTTTGTATCCTTCGTGCTGCATATGTAGAGTCAGCTGCTTCAAAGCTAGTGTCGAGAGATCAGACTTTTTGCGAATTCCTGGCAATGTCAAGCGTAGGTTTGGACGGTCTAAACACCGAGGGGGTGTCAGGATACGTTTCGGAGGTGTGTAGCCTGCTTGAAGGCACTCCCGGTAACTCAATACTGTTTTACCAAAGGAGGCACTCGGTCGGTCTTCTGGAAGCGAAGCGAGGTGGTGGGCAGGCGCGCGAGCGATGATTGATGATTGATATGTGGGGTTTAACATTCCAAAACCACCATATAATCATGAGAGACCCGGTAGTGGAAGGCTCCGGAAATTTCGACCACCTGGGGCTCTTTAACGTGCACCAGAATCTGAGCACACGGGCCTACAGCATTTCCGCCTCCATCGGAAATGCAGCCGCCGCAGTCGGGATTCGATACCACGACCTGCGGGTCAGCAGCCGAGTACCTTAGCCACTAGACCACCACGGCGGGGCAGGGGCACGAGCAAGGTGCCTAATATGCACTCGAAGCACCTCTAAAGTAATGTGCACTCAGGCTGGCTGATATTTGCCGATTGCGATGGTCTCCGCTGTGGATGTGCACCGTGGTAATCCAAGACAAAGTCTGAGTGCCCGACCCTGGGCGTTTTTGATTGTACGTATGCTACTTTTGCAGGTGTTTGTCAAAACAGGCAAGCTGTACCGCAGGTACCCCAGGGACAACGTCCTGTATTATTGCAACATTGCGTGTACTGACGTGCCCCACTTTTTTCCTCCGAGGAAGTTGAAAAGTTGGGAGATGGCTGTTAGGCGCTTTTTCAGAGTCGCCACATGGGGATTCCAGCAGAGATTTTGATCAATGGTGACTCCCAAGAACCTGTGTGTGCAGTTGTAGCAGACAATTTGTCCATTGATGGTAATGGGATATGACGTCATTGCCTTCCACGTCAACGCGACCAGCGCTGATTTGTCTGAAGATATGTCTGAAGATATCTCGAGGCTTTGCTCTCTAAGGTACGCCGAAATGAAGTTCACAGCTTTCTGAAGTTTCGCACGTACCTGCAGACGTGTTACACCAGATGTCCTAACACCAATATGGTCTGCATAGATAGATATCTGCACAGACTCTGGTATAGTTTCCACAAGGCCGATCATGACAAGACTGAATAGTGTGGGGCTCAATACACCACCTTGGGGAACACCACGGAGTATGTAATGATCAGATGTCAGCCCATCATCAGTTTCCATAAACAATGATCTCATATATGAAGGTAGCAGCAGATCCAGCGGTACAGTCGCCCACCCAAGTCAACGGACTCGAGGGCATCAAGCCCAAAGAGAGCGTTTGCCCAGGTACTGAAAAAATAGAGGAGGCGCTGGATGGGCACGTTACATTTTCCACCTGCTATATTTACGGCATCACAAATAATGGACTGTGAAATGTACAACGATTAAAAAAAAGAAAATTTAAGGATTTTCATGGATATGTGAAAATTCCAGCACTTTCAAGGCCTTTAAAGTAATTTTTTTAAATGCAAGGGTTTTCAAGGTTTTCGAGGACCCGTATGAACGCTGATTATGTCACTACAGTGAGTTTTCTTATATGATAACTAACGCACTACAAGAATCACAAAAGAATCACAAGCGTTGCCTTGTCGCTCCGTGTTTATGGTGCTCTGGTGTCAAGCAACACCTCGCAGTACGGAATACCTGCGGTAACGGCAGCCAGTTTTTAACGCAGAAATTACAAATGAAGTGCTTAAGTGATGATTACATTAAGACCGATGGTCGGCAACTGGAGGTAGTGGGTATTACCAGAGAACACTCCACTTCACGAGACCCCCGACAGCCCACGGTGTAGATTTCGTAAGTTAAACTATAGCGATTAATTGTAGTGTGAAGCATAAATAAAAATACTCACAGGAAGGTCAAGTCTCGCAGCCGAATTGAGAAGTCGTCGCACATTCATTTCTGGCCTGAACAGTCTAACCTTGTCGTCGTGGCCACGGTACGCTTTCAAGCCTTCAAAAAGCTGCGTCAAAGAGAAACCCATGCAGTTTACCAGAAGAAAGGTCTGCTTAATGCTTTCATGTTTCCCCACAAAATATTACAATAAGCATGTCTTCCTGAATAGGTGTAAAAAAATGCGTACATATGGATCAAGCTATGTGCCTGAAGCACTAAAAAAGTGAGAACAATGTATTTTTTTTCTACACATGCACTTCAACCTGTTGCTAATACTTGCGGTCAGCATTTTTAATATACATCGCAATGCTAATTAATGCGCTAAAACTGAAGGACAGAGATGTCTGAAAGCTGGAAGTAATTCTGAGAAACAGCTCAATAGAGGTAAGGTCTTTTTAAACAAAACACGCTAACCCTAGTCTATTTGTTTTCAGACATGCAGGCACATTAAAGCGAGAGAACAAAAAAGCTACATCACAGCCATTGAAAGTACTCTGTTAAAAGTAATGCATAGAAGTGCCAGTTTAAGAACCTTGGCTAGCTTCAGAACTAACCTACATACTGGACTTTTTTTTTTTTTAAGGCACTGATCGTTGCTGAAGTCTCGCAAAACATTTTCCCTAAGCTCTCAAGAACATCAGCTCCTGCAGGATAATCTCATTCTTGATTACCTTCAATGTGGGCTAACATCGAATTACACTCCGCAGAACCAGCAGCTTGCAATGACATGCTGAAAACAACAAATGTTTAGTTTCAGGACCACAGCTTCGAAAAGCACATTTGGCTCCAATTTTCATTGGTTGTATTGACGATTCACAGAGTTCTCAAAATTCTACGCTACTATAAGAACTCAAAAGAGCTTGTCTTTACAGGGTGTTTCAAGTGACTTAACAAAATATTGTCAAAATTATTTGGAACATTGTGTCCTCGACACTAGCTTGGCACTACAACGAAGTGTTGCTCAACTTATAATTTCAAGAAAATGACAGCTATTAAATGACCCCTCCGGACCCCAGGATATCGCAGGAAGATTAAAGTAGTAGGGTTCAATGAAGACAACACAGCAGGAGGCCTTACGAGTGCACCCTGCTGCTCTTCCAACAGCATAAGGGAAAACGGGTAGGGTGCAATAAAAGAAAGTATTTGCCAGATGACCACACAAATGTGCAATAACTGACCGAGTTCGCCGCCATAAGGGCCAGAAGTGGCCAGAGAACAAACAACACACACAAACCGTGACGAGTTGTCGTGGAATGTTTAATGATCATTTCCAAGCCTATTTTATGAATCTCGAGTGGCTTTACAAAGGCCTAAAAACGATTCACTGCTACATGCATAGAATACGTTAAAATAGTGTCAACGGTCTGTGAGGAATGACTTTGCAAAAAAACATACACTACAAAATAATATAGTAAAATATGCCAGTGCAACTATCGCTACTGCCTCACAAGCACCCTTTGAAAGCACTACGTACCAGCCACTACTATCATTGCACCTCGCTCTCAAGAGAGCATGTTCTATGATTTTATCTACAGTGCCATCCACTCTTGGTAAGAACACAGCACACCAAGGCCACACTCCGCAAGGCGCCAGCGCACACGGTGCGGCCCCGCATCGAAGCTAATCGGCGCAGGCACACAGGCATTGCCTGATCTTTTATGACGCGCTCGAGCGCCGTGCTTGCTTTGCTGGGAAGCACACCCAATTATCATCATACCAGTAGCGATTAAGCGCTACTGGCAATGCCAATGTGAGCACCACAGCAAGCAGCTGATCAGAACCGAAAGGCATGGCGGTGAATTATGACAGCAAGAACAGCAATGCTAGCTCAGTCATCCAGGTTCATAATTTCTGTGCACTGATTCAAACTATCACAAGAACTTGGACGGACTCATTAAAAAAAAAAAAGAACTCGTCGTGTTAACCCATATCCGTCAGAGCTTTTACAGTGATACTTTTCATCAGCGCACACTCAATGCCAGATGGCCACAGTCATGGAAGAATGACATGAAATATACAAGAACCAACATGGGGAAATTGCTGCATGTTTCAAAAGCAGACTATAATCACCAACAAATAATGAGAGCAGCAAACACTATTTTTAAATGCGGAGCGCTCTTAACGCCACAGCATAAATGATGCACATGTCCAAGTCAAAAGTTTTTACTGTTAGAAAAATTGTCACAAAAGTAACATACGAGTTTTTATAAAAATGTTCGATTTCACAGTGTACCTCATCACAAAGCAAAAGACCAAGAGTTCCAAGTACCTCTCAAGATTTGCTGAAAAAAAAATTGAGGCAGCTATGCACTAGCTGTGCTAAGTCTGATGGAACAGCAGAGATGTATGGCATTGCTTGTTTTGTAGCGATAGCAATTATATGGACACTCTCGGCTAGATTTTGCCACCGGGGTTGGCATTGACGTCGATGTCGTGCACAGTACATGTATGTATATATATATATATATATATATATATATATATATATATATATATATATATATATATATATATATATATATATATATATATATATATATATATATGAAAAAGCAAGAAAGAAAAAAATTCCATAAAAAAGACTCCTGCGCATGGAATTGAATGTGGGACCTCCGCATCGTGAATGCGAGGCATTAACCACTGAACCACCGAGAGGTACCTCCTTCAACGTTCAAACGGCAAGCTATTCATATCTACCACTTACCACTGTTGGCGGGCATCTCGGGGGAAACTATCGTGTTTTCAGCATTATCAGCAAGATGGCGCAGTGAGCGCGCGGCGGCTCTCATCTCTCACGCGTACTTTGGCCCGCGTAGAGAACAAGGGGGTGTACACTCGATCCCGCGCCCTTATCTTGTAGGGGGGAGAATTGTACGTCTTGGCTAGCCTTTGAGTTTCGTTGGAACTATTCTGTTGTAGTTACCGTGAGCATAAAGGTCATTGCAATCGTTGCATAGCCTCCTGTGAGTACATACCTGTGAGTACATTTCGTGCGTCCTTTGTGAATGAGAAATGCGGGGCACGTTTCGATCTGCTTGCCATTCTGCACGTGACCTTGCAATTTGTTGCTATCGCGTTTATTGTTTCGCCTTTGCAGCAAACCTGTGACTTTTTTTTCTTCTTCTCTTTTCTATCACCTTTCTTGTCTTTGCTTCATAGACTTAGGTCCACGTTACAGAACCCCAGGTGGTTGAAATTCCCTGAGCCTTCTACTATAGCGGCCCTCATAGTCACATCATGGTTTTGGGATGTCAAACCCCAACAATTATAGATGTCTCTATTTATATCTCTTTCAATTTCCACATTTTTTTTCTTACTTTTCTTTTGTTCTATCTCCCTGTATATTTCTTTCTCTCTTCAGTTCAGCTGTTCTGCACTTCTCTGTTTTCTTTGTTTTTTTTTTCAGAACGCACACACAATGAATAAACTGAAGAAAGACCTATATGGCACATCTATTGTGTGCTAGCCGCAGGTGTTATTAGGTGGTACAATAAAATATACTATAATTATCCTCATTTCTCCAATGTATATTCCAAACCAGCAAACTGCTTTCCTTATAGTCAATCCTAAGATGAAAGAGAGGACTAAGAAAGCACGGGTAAGCTGAGTTATTGCATTTTTCACCCGCCAGGCGCAGCCGTGTCTGGTCTTGTGGGCATGTGGACTTGCGGAACAAAGAGCTTAAACAGCCCCGCTGTTTTCAAAATAATCAAGCCATCTTCTTTCATCTAACCCCTCTCATCAAACTAATCTCCTTAATGCCTTGCCGTAGTTAAATACTAGTTTTTTAAGACATGACAACATATGCTTATCTCTCTAGACGTAGTTGGCAAATTTGATTGTGGAGCCTTGAAAAGATAGAACAAAACTGTTTGCATAAGGCATCTTTCAGTGCTCTTTAAAACTTGGCTAAGTTAGGCTGGTATTTAAAAACAAAAACAAATTACGACTCGAAGATTACTGGCCCAATGCACTGCTTTCATATTTGTCCAGGATAATAGAAAAGGTGTGTCTCAAACAAATTTAACACTTTATTTCTACAACATAAACTTCTGTCAGATGTGCAATATGGATATATGAAAAATAAAGATACAGAACAGGCTAAAAGAAAGTTGGGCAAAATACTGAAATATATGTTGAGGTTTTATGTTGGTGATTGAGAAATGCCATACTGGAGGGCAAAGCAAAGCTTAGGCAAAGTATAAAATAAACAAATGCTGGGGTTTTATGCCTAAAAACCACGAGATGATTGAGAGATGTCATACTAGAGGCCTCTGGAAATTGTGACAATCTTGGGTTCTTATACATGTGCCTCAATCACTTTGCCTCCAACAAAATGTGGCCTCTGATTCGATCTTACGACCTTCACGTAAGCAGTCACGCACAATATAATTTACTGGACCATCACGGAGGCAAAATATTGAAAACAAGTTCTTCTATATAAAAATATTTAATGACCCAGCAAAAACATTCGATGTTGTCAAGCACAAGATAATTCTGTCCAAATGGGAGGACTACGGCATCTGATAAATGGGCAACAGTATGTCTGCATCGATGGATGAAGTTCTGCTAAGGAACACGACGAGAATACAGATGTCCCACATGGGTCAATCAATATAAGGTCCGTCCTTGCTTGCCAAAAATATGTATAATTGATCTTCGATTTTACTTACTATAAGACTGCTTTACACACGTAGATGATGGGCATGTTCTTAATACCCTGTTTAAGCTGGGAAGAACTTTGTTTACAATGAACTATATATTTCTGCTTACAGGTGCAACACAGAAAAGAAATGCGCGTTCGCATGGAAAGAAAAAAAGGAAGCTCGGCCACTGTACCTCCTGGGCATAATGAAGAACCTTGGCTGCAGGATGAAGTTCGAGCTTGCGCAGAGGCGATATTTTCGGTTTATCCCAACCATCGGCGCTGGTCCACCTCACCATAAACATGTGGTCACTCATCTCTTGACCGAACAGAAGCTTCGAGGGGTCGGGCTTCGGTTTCCGGTTGGCGGCTGGCATGAGCTCCACTTCGAGGTCATTAAACTATGAAAACAAAAGATGGCTCGTTTATGCGTAAAATGGCGCAACTTCAACGCACGCTGTTCAAACTCTTTTTCTGAACGGTGCTTTTGGGTCGGGCCGTTTACAGACAATCACTATTGCAGCTTACGTACCACTCTCTATGCATGCATTGCGAAAAGAAAAAAATATGGCGTACAGTGGGTGACTCTGCCAGACAACTATAATCAGTCACCCATCTTGGGCGCTTTCCTTGTGTGATTTCCACACACCAAGTGTATTCCATTTATAAATAGTGGGCACACTATCAGCATAATATTGCATTCCTGAACAGAATGTAGCAGACCTATGGTGTGTTCAAAATAGGAAACGAGAGCGAGCCAGATGACTGTTATAGTTTTGTGGCAAAGACACACTACAAATGCACCTTTTTTATTATGGCGTAGTATACTACAATGTCACAGAAGCATTACAAAATGGCACATCCTTAAAGGGACACTAATGAGGAACAATGACTTGGTTTAGATTGACAAACTGCACTCTGAAAACTCTGCCATGTGTTTAACTCTCATATGTTCATTATTAACGCAGAAAATTGAGGTTGAAGTTTCATATTTAAATTTCACGCCAAACTCTCCGCGCGTGACGCAAGAAATTACAATATGTATTTTCGTGGCATTGGCTCGATCAAATCTTCTGAAACTTCGTACACTAAGTCTATGACAGCCACAGATTACAATAAGCATCACTTTTATCAACTGAAAGCTAGGTAGAACACAGTAGATGACTTGAAAACTTCTTAAGTCTCGGTTTCTGGTGCGACAATCTCATGGTGGCGTCACCACCCACATTTTCTTTTCACGTGTTTTCTTGCTTACTAAGCGTCATGTCGCGGTAAGACTGGTGTCTTCGGAATTGCGAAATTGTACTTTACTAATACGCAAACAATTTTTTTGCTCTAGTGTCCCTTAAACAACAGTCATACTTAACAGTTTTCAAGGTCCTCACAAAAATAAATGCTGACTGCTTGTCACAAATCTGTTTCACACAACTTAGACAGCAAGTAAACACTGCAGTCAACATTATCTTTAAACGCAATATACAAATCAGTTGATGAAAAAACACTCAGCCATTTCTCATTACGGCTGCAGGCAGACTTATTTCCCATAACATTCTGCAGCAAAGTTAAGCAGTGCTGCTGTGTCAGTGCTTAGCGAGATTGTATTGTGTGTTCCTAAAGTACCATTCCCACCCAGAACTGCACAGCCGTTCATTCAAGCGTGTAAGTGATGCACGTAAAGCACAAAAATGAGAGACAGATAGCTACAAAAAAATAAGGAAGCAACAGTATTTACCAAAAACGTAGATCTCGCCTTTTCGGCATCTTTCTTTGCCTGGTCGGCGGCGCTCCAGGAATAGCGAACCTGATCAGAGCCAGCAAAAACAGATGATGAAGATACATAAGACAACTCATAATCAACGGCCCACTGCTTTCCATTTCATTCACGCTGTAGTACTCCAAGCTAGCTTGGGGAAAGGTGACGGACCTCTAATCCACAACAAACCTGTCTTGGCAGCAGCGCCAGACGCTGATATCACCTTCGTTATTGCGCTTGCTAGCCGATAACGGGAGAGTGTGCCGCGCGGTGCCCGATATGGAAACGTTATCTCGTGTCTAGACAGTTGGCATGAATGCATGTGGGCAAACATGTCAAAGTAAGAAAGGCCGGCTCGCACGGCCTGTCGTACGACTCGCTCGGGAGATACTCGAGACGATAAAGCACCTGATTGGAGAAGAAATTAGCGCCGGTGATTTATTGTGGCGTTCGACATGTCAAAAATGCGCCCAACTCAACTTACAGCGCAGTAAAACTGAATGTGCAGCTCGACTGGCTACGTCTGATCCTAACTGCAACAAGTTCACCTTTCTTTGGATGAACCATGGGAGGAACCTTGACGCCGGCCTCGCGTTGACCACATCGCCCTTGCAACGTTGCGAACGGGTTTCAACATTCAGGCGAAGGTAGCTGTACTCTCGTGCGGTACTCCGTAGTTGTACAGCTACGCGGGTGAACAAAAACGGCAAGTGCCGTGAATACGCTTTGTGCAAGGTTCACGAAAGTAGCAACACGCCTTAGCCTGGTGGTTTGGAGAACGAACTGCCTGAAACGAAAGTTTTTTCGCACGTTGTTGCCGGTGTGCCGGCTGGCTCGCTCGCTCTGAGGAAAGCAATCAGAACGGCCCGCGTATTGTTTCCTCGGAAACTCACGTTGCTTCTGATGATTCGAAGGGACCGGGCAAGCATGGTCTTGCGGTGCTGCTGGCACGTTGGTAACACACACGCCGACGAGATCGACGAGGCCGGGAGAACCAAAGGGACCGCAGATGCGGAAAATGAAGAAAGGAAAAAGAAAGAACCACGCGATAGTTTCAGAGCGGGAGTCGCAGGAGGCGCTAGAGTCGCTTATTTCCGCGTGTTGTCGAATCCTCTGTGAAAAGGGTACTTAACGCGTGAAACCTGCCGACATCAGCTTGTCAAATGTCTCGAAGCGGGAGATAGAAGACCAGCAGGCTTTTTTCCGTGTCGGCGTATCCTTCCTACACGACTCACTTCGGAGAAATGCGCGCTGTGGCAACGCGGCCGTGACGATCGCTGGAGGCTCGCCCTGACGTCGAAATGACGTAGGCGGTCACAAGACTGGAACCGTGGGTCTACTGACGGCCTTGGTAGAAAACTAGAAGGTAAACACACTCACGCGGTACAATCCCTGTGGCAGCGTTCCAGATCGTGGTTAAAAATTGACGGCAAAGGTTGAGCAATACCCCCTTGGGAACGGTTTTCGCTGCATACATTTACGTCAGGTAGATGAATTATTCCATGGAGATCACTCGACCCGTACGCAGCAGGCCTGAACGCACGTTTATGGTTCCGATTTATGAGAAAGTATCGTAAAAAAAAAAAAAATACGGCATTCTTTTTGCCAACCATCTTCGTGGTGCAGTTCTCCGCAAACGTATTACAGCTTCGTTTATTTTATTCTTGTGCCGTCTTGGTTGTGCGATAGCATGATACTCGCACATGCATTTCACATTTAAGACCGCCGTTCTTGCTTAAAATTGGGCACTACACTTTAAACAGTTGCTTCATTTGTCTCTTTTCTCCTATATTCCCCGCTGTTGCTCTGTCGCTGGATAGCTCGCACACGTAACAAGCACAAAATAGTATATTGTGCGTGTTATATGCGCAGCGACATGAAACAAAAAACAATATTGCAACTATTGTGACAAATAATCGGCATCAGTAGCATGAGCCCTTTAATATCAAACAGGCGTAATTTTCATGCGTGCTTTCTCGGCGTCGGCGATTAGGCGCGTCCGCTCGGTCGGCTTTCCGACAAGGAAAGTCCATTTCCTAATTGCTTATACGAAGTGCACATGTCTACGAACCTCACTCAAGTTCACAAATTACGGGGAATAACATCTTTTTTTAGACTTCTTTTTTTTTCCCTGTGCGTGGGCGTGCGAATACGATGGAGACAACACGCGGTGGTGCACACATGCTCAATAACACACAGCATCACGTAGCTTTAGGTTTCGAGAAATTTTGAGATTTGATTTATTTCACCTGTGACAACACATGACAAAGATAGCGAAGCAGAAGCAGAATGTATTAATTATTGCACTCCTTCCGTCTTACGTACGTTGTTTTTCGTTTGAGTATAGGTATGAAATACGGAAAAGGTCTAATTAAATTATACATAAACAATTCTCAGCCGATACCCCTGAGTGGGTATGAGCCGTGTTTCTGGATTCATCAGCATCGATCATCATCATTTATAGTGAGGATAGTTATTTGTTTCTGGAATTATCATAACTGGTTCTTCGTTCTTTTACTCTGGGTACATCGCCCCGCTGCGGTGGTCTAGTGGCTAAGGTACTCGGCTGCTGACCCGCAGGTCGCGGGATCGAATCCCGGCTGCGACGGCTGTATTTTCGATGGAGGCGAAAATGTTGTAGGCCTGTGTGCTCAGATTTGGGTGCACGTTAAAGAACCCCCACAGGTGGTCGAAATTTCCGGAGCCTTCCACTACGGCGTCTCTCATAATCAAGTGGTGGCTTTGGGACGTTAAACCCCACATATCAATCAATTACTCTGGGCACATCCAGAGAAATGTTTCCATTGAGGAATATATGATTGCGAGAAAAGGAATGTCTGGCCAGATTGGCACTTCATAGTTGGCACTTCAGATCAGTTAATATTGGAAGAATTCACCAATTATTCGGCAAAATTGTGTGCGTGCCAGTCAGACATCCGTGGTTGATTGGGAGAGAACAAAACAACAGCCTAAAAGCCACAAGAGATAGAGAAAGCACTTTATCTGTACCCGTCAGCTGCCCCTTTCACCATCTACTCCCCCCCCCCCCCCCCCCGGGTGTTGCCAAACCCAGTGGGCTATAGGGCAGTGACGTGGGCCTGCAGCCTAATTGACTAGCCCCGTCACAACGTGCACTACAGGAAAAAGATTTAGTTGTGGGCGAAATTTTGAACACACTCAGCGAAAAGTTGGTAAAATGAAAACGCTTGATATGTTGTGCTTACGCTAGAAAACGGACACCAAGACATCACGTTGAAGAACTGAATTTGTAGGCATTACACGTGAAGTAAAATATGTTGTACTTGAAACCAATATGTATCCTGTGTTTTGAAGTCTATATACGTGGCGTTACTTTTTTTCCCTCTTTTTTCTTTAAGAGCCTAGTGCGCTCTAACTAAACCTGACAAAAACGCACTTATTTTGCTATTGACAATATGGCGGGCCCTGCTCCAACAGTTTTTGGCCGGGGTATCCCTGTATACCCTAAATATACTTCAAATCTATATTGCGGCTAAAATATCTATAGCTCACTATCGTCGATATTCAGGAGTAAAATTTGTATTTGACTCTTGCAGATTGCAGCAATTCAATTTGGCGTGAATTAGCTCGTAAAAGATCAAAACTATTCGAACTTATTGCATAGAAGTACAGCAAGTACTTCGCGATAAAATTAACATCACCCGTGTGCTTCATCGGGCATAATGGTCGTATTGGCGATGACTATATACTTGAAGAGCGAATGGTCCTTCCTGGCAAAATGTGCGCTATTCTGGACAGGCAGCGTTTTGTTGCTCTAGACATCTGTTGAAGATATAGGCCTTGAAAGGTTAATCGATCTTCTGAGCTCGTTTGATGCCTTGCCGTATCGGATCACTCCTTCTTCAAGCCATACATCGGTTTCCTATATGTTCATTTCATGTATGTCTTTTAGTTCAATACCGTCTTCGAGTGAAAGAAGGACATGGTACTCGAATAGAATTGCTGAGAAAAAGAAGTAGTAGTAAAGTCGTTCTCTTGCTATATATATTCGCGTTTGGGTCCTACAAGTCTATCAGTAAGTGCCAACTCGTCCTTAAAAAAACTGATCGTGGAACTTAAATTCGATAGGAAAGTAAATAGAACACAACTGAAACAGATTGGATGAGACCGTGTTGCTTGTTTTGGTAACGGTTGTTGACGCCGCGCTGGTCCAATGAATGTGGCTCAGAAAATGAATTGTCCAATTTTGATTCCGACTGTTTTAGGAGTTAAAAATGTGCGTTACACACAGACACACAGACACACACACACACACACGTGTATATATATATATATATATATATATATATATATATATACATACATACATATATATATAATGCAAAGGCAAAGTCTGTCTTCGGTTGCCGTAAACAAGAAGGAAAAATGTGTACGCTTTCAAAAAAACACTTTATTTGTCGACGTTTCGATCGGACTCAACATAAGTCATCCCAGGGGCAAGATGGCGTGGCGTTTACCAAGAGAGTGGCGGGCTGCTCATCCGTGGGCTTGGAGGTGCGAAATGTGTACATGCGCATATGTGTCTCGCTCCACGATCGATCGGGCGTGCATAGCGCTGTGTGAATGTGACAAGCTTTAAATAATAATAATAATAATAATAATAATAATAATAATAATAATAACGTACGGGGTTTTACGTCCCAAAACCACGATATGTGATTACGGGGGACGCCGGAGTGGAAGGGCTCCTAAATATTTCGGCTACCCTGTGTTCTTTAACGTGCACTAACATTGCACAGTACACGGACCTGGATCATTTCGCGCCTACCGGAATGCGATCGCCTCGGGCGGGGTCGAACCCGTGACCTTAGGTTCAGCAGCCGAGCACCGTAACGACTGATCCGGCGTGGAGGAAGAGTGTGCGCAAGAAAATGCACACAAAAAGGGGGGTGGGGTGGGTGCCCACATCATCCTCCGCGTGCACGCCTGTGCCTTCCGGCGTTAATAAATGCAAGCGAGATGGACAACGATTACTCTTGCAAAACGGGAAAGGGTTCAATCTGTTTTGTGGAGTGTGAACGAATGCATTCTATTTCTTACTGTTATTTTTTTTTTTCGCTCGGCTTGCTTTTTTTTTTTTTTTTGAAGAGGCCGTTGGCCTTCGAAAGCATTTCAGAGCCATTGGATTCAGGAAGACTAGTAACGTCGTATTATGAGTCGCATCATTACAATGTGCTTGGGAAGTTGTTATGCGGGTCGCTCGATCACAGCCAGTCACGCATGTTTGTCAGCAGCAATATGATAACATCTGTGGTTTCACATCCAAAAAGCAGGATATGATTATGAGAGACGATGTAGTGTAGGGCTCCGGAAACTGGCGTCCTTTAATGTGCACTAGCTGACAGTGCACGGACCTTTATCATTCCGGGTCCATCGAAATGTTACCCCTGCGGCGGGAATCGAACCCGCGTCCTTCCGGTATGCAGCCGAGTACCGTAACCTGCGGTCAAATTACAACCGCAAGTGAACCCTGCTGTTTGTCCAGTTAGAATATTAGAAGAAATTATCACGTGAACAGGCCGTGAACAGCCCGCGAGTAATAATTCGAGATAGACGTCAAATAAAAAAATAGTACAAATATTTCGGTTAGAGTAGGACTCGAACCCAGAATTTCTGCGTGGCAAGCAGGTGTTCTAACGCGAAGACACACTTATGTACGAAATAGCAGTGCGAGGATCGAGTGTCATAAACGCATGTAACGATGCCCGGCAAAGGCATACAATTACTCCGGGCGTCGAGACATACGATTTGATCGACGAGTGGTTAGTTCAAAGGGCGATCAACTACAAAACACAGATAGATAATTAACTATCAGTACCAACAACAGCATGTGAAGCAGCGCTGGTGCGTGTATTGCTTTACTGACTCGTTGCGGATACCTTACGAACTCGCAAAATGACGAATTATGTCAAAGTGGGCACTACGTGAATATTTTGATGACGATGTGAAGATGAAGATGACGACGACGATGATGATGATGACCAGTGAGATGATGATGGTGATACTCTCTCCGTTGCCGCTCCCACACAAAGGGGGATGGGCCAAGAACCAGACGGCAGTATCCTTAAGTTTAAAGGGCTATGGAGTCTAAAAACACCCAATGGAAATTTAGACAATGTGAAACTCAAAAATAATGAGTGAAAAGGCTGAACGATCGATCAAGTGGCTAGACTATCAGATGGGTTCAGCAGCCGGCATTCTCGGATGTTTTGAAACCGCCAGCATGCAAGTGCACTGACGTTC